TAAGACTGGGATGCCAGCAAAGTTCATGTGTGTGTAAAGGCAGGCGGCCCAATACATTTGACAATATACTGTATATGAGTTGTGCTATTATAGTCAATGGCACTTATGGGTTACTAACCAGCAGGTAAAAATAAGACTTGTTGCCAATGTTATTAATAGGAAGTTATAAGGCCAGTATAAATTCTGGGGAAAAAAATGTCACTCTAACTGCAGGTAGATCACAAAGATTAAAACAGTGGCTTTAATGGCAGAGATCTTATATATTTTGTGTTCAGTTTCTCATTTAAATGGAATGTATTAGATTTTGAATATGTTTATATAAATTGGGTCAGGAATAAATTTTAAGAAGTTTTGTTTCTCTTTCTTTAGTTTGGTAAATATTCTCTGCCAGAGGATTGATCACTAGACTACTATTCCCGGCTATCCTTGTGTGCAGACCTCAATAGCTCAAGCTCCAATGCATACACAGCTGATTGGATCGGAGGGATCCTTCTTGGCTTCAGATGGTTCAGTATAACCCCAGAGAGCAAACCGTTTCAGAAAATCCATAATTCTCTATGAATCTGTGTCATGAGAGCACCCCGTACTACGTGTTTCTTTGTAAATAAAGATTGTGTATAATTAATAAAAAATATATAAAACATCAGTTTAAAAAACAAATAATAAAATAAAACCAATGCAACACCATGACAGTTTCACACAAACATACTTTTTTCTTTACAAGGTTTTCACTCAAAAACAAACACACACGCAATCCAATCAAGACAATTTATGCCACTGCATTGGGTACACCGACAACCCCACCTTCCCCTTAATAAACTAAACACATAAAGTAAAAACATTTTATTAAAAGTAAAGCAACAGAATATCATCAAAGGTTTTTCTCATATTAAAAAGTAACAAACGTTATAAATAGTCTGAAAGAGCTCCACAGCTGTGTAAGAAAACAAGCCAGCAGTATTAATATGAGAAGAAGATGGGGTGAACTAGTTGTAAAGCATGGTACATGCAGATTGAAGGCGTTCTTGTTTATGTTACAAGCTGTCCGCATTAAAGTGAACAAACAGACAGATAATATATCACTGCTGAAATGTAATATTGGGTGAATTATAAGTGTTATTATAACAAATGCGTGGAAGGTTTAACGGCCATGTTCACGCTGGTGCATTTGTACGTGCAAGTCTGTTATATAGAATGACCTTCATCTTTATATCCCCCCCATATCAGCAGAGGAAGGCAGGCTGGGGGCGATAGGGGGGAATGCCTTCTGGACCATCACCGAGAGGGATAAAGCACCATCCACTATCCATACACGGCTAGATTTCTCTTCTTCCTCTATCCGTGCTAAACAGCTTGGATGGAGAAATCTGCACTGTGCGCTACTGCATTCAGACAGATGGCATCCACAGCTGTCAGAATATCCAAACAGTGACTGCATCTGATTGAACCAAGTCGCTTTTCAGTGGCCAATTTTCCCAGGAGGGCTGAATATTCAGGAATCGGCTGAAATTCAAACTAAATTAAAGCAGAAGTAAAGCAAAAAAAAATGGGGTGGGTAAGCCCACTTGAGCTTTAAGCCATAATGTGCTCAGCATATTAGCACATTATAGCAGACCTACCTGCCAAACCAATGCCCTCTAGTGCTGCACATCTCCCTCACCGGCGCTTCCATCTTTGCCCCGATCTCCTTCTGGGTTTTGAGTCTTCAGCCGTATGATTGGCTGGGCCCTGATGCCGGAAGGCCCGTGCATGCACATGGGAGTTACTTAATTTCTGCCTGCCCAGTCTGTGCACTGAGCTGCACATGTTCAGCTCAGCATTAAGAAAAAAATAATTGCTGAATGCCAATAAGGTGCTTTATTGGCAGAAGAGACTTCCTCAGTCTCTTCTGTCATAGAAAGCCTGACAATCAGCAGGGGTTTTTTTTCTACTTTACTTCCACTTTGAAGATAATGCAAAGGAAATTGTGTGCAACACACATCAGTTAAATGGGATGACCTAAACCAGGGGTAGGCAACCTTGGCTCTCCAGCTGTGCTGAAACCACAAATCCCATCATGCTTCTGCCTCTGAGCATCATGTCTGTGGCTTGCAATGCCTTATGGGATATGTAGTTTCAGCACAGCTGGGGAGCCAAGGTTGCCTACCCCTGACCTAAACCCTATTCTACATTTCATTTGCCAACTGGCCTCTGTCTAAACTAAGCCGTTGACGGAACCTAGGAGAAATAAGGACGCTGCTACTGCAGACCTCTAGCTGCCCGGCTGTCTCTTACTTGAAGGAATGGTCAGCAATGGAAACATACATCCCTTAGTACCTTCCAAAAAACACGCATATTGTAATACTTACCTAATTAGCAGCTCTGTGCTCCTTACGCCTACTGCCACCCACTACAGTCAGGGCAGCTAAACCCATGATTTCTGTCAAAGCTTATTATCTGTGCTTACACAAAGCCACTCACTGGCTGTTCTTGCCTGTACACCAATCCATGACAGAGAGCAAATGTGTTTTTCTTTTAGCAGACTAAGTAATAGAATAAGCAACTGCCTTTCTGCCCTGCAGCAGCTCAAAGCCTAGGACTTTGGTCCGGACTCCAGTCATTGTCTTATAAAGTTAATGCTTGCATGTGGTATGATTTGTAAAAAATGCACAGACTTTAGAAACATATGCTTTCCAAACCCCTTCCTTGCCTTGCCCCCCCCCCCAAAAATGACATATGCAATCTAATTGGCTGCTATAGGTGACAACTTCACTTTCCTTTCACATATTTCAACTTTGCAAATATTAAGAGATGCAAATTCACTCCAACATTTAAAACAGCATTTCACTCACACACTGCCATTAGAGTGTGTTCCAGTGCTTGGGTGTCCAGACATGCTTTACTGACACATTTAAGCCCCACTTTAAACCTTTGCAATGTAATATCGCAGAGGTGCTGCAGGGGGCATCATTGTGCTCTGCTGTAGGGCCATTTATTTTAATAGGCTGCCTAATGCAGCTAAATCACACTGAAAAAAGGGCATGCATCTTTTTTTAAATTGCACGGTAAGGCCTCATTCACACGAGAAAAGGCCGGCACGTGCAGCTCCGTGCTGCGTGCACGGCCGTATCGGGCAGCTCCTGGGAAGGACAGGTGCTGCACATCCGTGCGGGTGTCCGTACTCATACGCTGACAGGATGGCTCCTGTCTGCATCTGAGCTGGGACACCCGTATAGACCTACACTTTGGGTGAGCGTAGGGCGGCGTACTCACATAGAGAAGGACGGGGGCTCCATACTAACCACAAGCAGCACCTGTCCTTCCAGGGAGCTGCCCGATACGGCCGTGCACGCAGCACGGAGCTGTATGTGTCGGCCTTTTCTCGTGTAAATGAGGCCTAATAGGTTACCATGCGATATGGTGCCATACAACGCACATGTGATGGCTAGGTGTGTTGGGGTGTCAGTAAGAAATACTGGGACTGCAGTGCACCTAACATTGCAACAAGCACGCGCTCGTGCATCAGAAAGGTATGAATGTAGGCTTAGTGGAAGTTCTTTTTATAGGAGAACCTGTAAAAGGAATTCCACATTTATTTCTAACAATAGGAATTAAACTGCAGCACTAAAATGCCACAATAAATATTGTAGCCCTTTAGTTGTCAGGAATTCCAGCAACAGCTAAAATAAATTCATGTGAACTGTTTATCTGCCAAAATAATTGTTTAGCCACTCTTATGGTTCACACATTGCTGCCCTTTTGCACAGCCAGTCTGGTGACACAAGTGTTCAGTATTGCGGCCATGCAGCATCCCTGGTCACTTGCCCGCTTTTGGGGTTTTACAAGAGTGTCATTTTATTGTGTCCGCCTCCTTAAAAAAGGCTAAACACCTCCCCCTCAAAAAAACCTGTTAAAGCTGAAGTTTAATCTGCTTATATTATGCAATTGCCAACTCATTACATGCTAATGACATTTTAAAATGATTTTCAGTTTTCATTACATACCCTATTTTAGACCCATCACAGGGTCTTTGTGCTTCTCTATTCAATGCAGGTAGATAATAGCTGATGCGAGGGGCCAGCAGTGTGCTGTACGTAGCTTCCTTAAAACATCAGAGCACCATCTCTCAGTACTCCTGAGTACCGTGTTGCAAGCAACGGGATTGCTCTTGGGAGGAGTTATGCAAATATCAAAATGCCCTAATGGATGCATGCCAGTGTAGAGGTGCGGTGTTTCTAGGTAGACTGCATATGCATGGGGACCATGCTAGGTAAAGCCCACATGTGATGCTGAGCTTCCGCATTGAAAGAACTGAAATCCAATAAATGAAAGAGGGCCAATGACAGGAAGGCTGGGAAGAAAAGGGCTAGATGATGGTGGACATTCTTCAGCCAGGAAACAAGAAGGACTCAGACTTCCTGCAGCTTCAAATGCACACTATGGGAAGCTCACAGTGTGCAGTGAAGTCAGAGTGAGCAGTTTCAATACAGGCTCCTCTCTTGTACAACTATGCAAGACTGAAGGGAAGCCTGGAATTAATATAGAACTGGGCTATGGGATTGATTTGAATATTTTCTGGAGTTTTGCATCAAAAGGGGAAACTTTCTGATGCATTTCTACATTTACCTATTGAGCAGAATATACCGGTATGTTATAAATGACCACTTTACATGTAAAGGATTGCATTATAGTTTACAAAGGTCACAGAGGACTAGACAGGTCATCGGGAATCACTAGTGCTGCACCTTCTGGGTCATTGAAGACCAGCTAAGCTTTATTGGTTTATCACCAATGTCTAAATACTGCATACTACACCTCTGGGGGATAAAGGGAGCCATTGACATAACCCAGCCATGCCCAGGGACAATGAATAATACACCAGTGACTGTGCCATTATCCGAAGGATTCCCTCACTGCGTTCAACAGTCTTATGTACAGGCCGAGTTGTTCTTCCACATTCAGTAGTCAGGTTTCAGAAGCATTTTTTTGTATTGCTGCCTAATACAGGAAGCTTTGTGCCATTAAGTCAACTCTAGCTCAGGCTTCAGGCCTGTAATATGAAAATGGTGGAGCCCTCAGTGGAGAGACATAACAGAAATGTGGCACGCAAGGTATAGTCCTTTGACAAGGATATTCTTCAAGGAAAAGTCCTCGGGGGTTTACATGTCATGAAATGATAATCTAACACACGAAAACAAAAGTCTCTCTTTGCTTCATGTAAAACTTGTGCTCTTTGGTCAATGACCGCAGTGCGTGTTGTGCTTGGACAGGATCACGCATGCTCCAGAATCGGCTCCTCCTTGCTGACCTCCAGTCCATTCTTCCTCAGAAGTGTCTGTTTCTGGAGCCCTTTTAGCTTGAAGAGAAGGTCGCGAATGAATTCCTGTTAACAAAAAAAACAATTCCGATTAATGTGAATATTTAGCTATTCACTGAAGCAATGCAACTTTTTTAGGCCTCCAAACGTCCACAAGATCAAGAACATCAAGAAGCATCATATGTCTGTGCCCGGCAACTGGGTGTTTGCATACAGGCGTGGGAACTAGACTGTACAAATCTATGACAGGCTGACAAGTGCCATGGATGTACTCAGGTAACCGAACATTGAACCAGTTACATGCATACTGGGACATATGAGCAGTCCTGGACACAGACAGTTTGTGTCCAGGGCCACTCATCCGTCCCTGTATGAATTAACCGAGTCGATGGAGGCTATTGGTCTCTGCCAGCTGACATGTAATATCAACAATGTGTAGCTAGTGGTGCCCATGCCGCTGATTTCACTGAAGTTTACATATCGGCCCTTAATGAGTCGGTCATCTTTCGGTGGCACATACGCAAAGTGACCTCGGCCAGTTATTAATAAATGACTGAATGTTGGTATTCAGAGCACACTCCGCCACGGCATTAAATGACTCATTCAGGGCCGACATGTAAACATCAACACTGAGTAATCAGAAGCAGTGGCGCCACTTACTACGCATTCTTGATATTGATATGAACAGCAGCTGCCGCTAATAGGGTGAATGTACGCATGTAAACATTAGCACAAACTTTTGAATGCGGACAACATAAATAACACTGAAATTTATAGTCTTGGATGCAGTGTCCTCATTTATTGTACGCTGCCAGGGACAACTGTGCGAAAAAACCCAATAGACTTGTATTCTGATGTGTACAAAGCTATACACTGGATGCATCTGTGCACAGCATTAGCACCCGTGTGAATGAACCCCAATACTGAATAATTGACCTGTTACCAAGAACGCCGCAAGCAAAATAAGGGGTAAGTCAGAACTCCTGTTCCAGGTCAGCAACTCAAAAAGTACTGAAGCCAGCAGATCAACATAACAGCCAGGGAAATAGCATTTTTTTTAGAAGGAGAGGTCAGCAATGACTGCCTACATATTTCTCTTAGCATGGATTTCCTTTAAAAGTATTTTTGCTAAAAGTCGATATGTAGCTACAAAACACACACACACACACACGACAGTCCGCTTGCCTGTAAACAACAGGATGAACCACAAGTATTCAGAGAATGCAGTCCAGTTAGGTCAACTGTGATTGGTGAAGAAACAAAAGAAAGAATTTCAATTTCAATCAACCCCCTACAAAGTCTTCCCGCTTCCCCATATTTGCCCACGTCTCATACATTACTCAGATTCTACAGAAATGTAGAACATGAATATTTATAGCCGGTTCCACGCTAAAGGAGACAAATCTGGCCATCTGACACTAGCAAAAAAATAAATTAAAAAAAAAGAGTCACAGCTGTACAGATTCATTGAATAAACTGGCAAGTTTGTTGAAAGAGCCCCTGCACACTTCAAGTTCCTATCTTATTGGTTACAGCACTGTATGCAGTGCTGTGACCAATAAGATAGGAACTTGAAGTGACCACCATGGATGGCGCCGTGCAAAAACCTCAAAGAGGTGAAGGTGGGTCCCTTCCTTCACTGACCTGTCACTGTGTCACCTTGAGGAAGGGACCCTGTGCAGCCCCGAAACGTTGGCAATTTTGACCTATGTGATGTTATTTGCAATAGACAATATTTTCTTTGCAATTTTCTTTGCATTTTGGAGTGCTGGTGGCCTATCTTCACTTCACTGGCAAGATGACATCTATGGAGGGGGGGAGGGGCTAATCTAAATACAATGGTTTGTAATGTCCCATGCAGAATTGAGCTGTGAAGGACTTCTTATACTATTGGATAGATTCTGCAACAAGCTGACACATTCAAACGAGAAAATCCCCTTTACCCGGAGTGCAGAGTGCCGGTAAGTCACATCTCTGAAATGTAGTCCTGCTGCATTCTCTGCACTCCAAATAAAAGTGGATTTTCCCTTTCAAAGATAGAGCTCTGGGTGATGATACTTCCTTGCTGAGGATTGAGATTCATGTAATGGACATACACCATGGGGGGGAATTTATCAAAAACTGGAGTAGACAAAATCTGGAGCAGCCGTGTATGGCAACCAATCAGCTTCTCTCTTCACTTTGAAAATGAAAGAGAGAAGCTGATTGGTTGCCATGCACAGCTGCTCCAGGTTTTGTCTGCTGCAGTTTCAATAAATTTGCTTCTATGTGTTTTTTTTTCCCTTTTAGCCCCACAGGTTGAATGGGAAAAAACACTCAATTCCCCCATCCATACTGAGCAGCATGGATGGTGGAATCCTCCTCCCCAACAGGAGATTGTGTTCCGACAGCTGGCTCCCACCGCTGTAAAAATAGTGACTGCAGCAAATTAAAGAAGAAAATGTGCATATTATTTTTTTGCATTGGAGCCAACAAAGCATTGCAACCGCTATCAGTGAATTGCATGTGCAATGCTCTGGCTCCTGCAGATGTTCCCTCCCATCCGCATTGGTATCTCAGTACAGATATTCAGTAACATGGATGAGAAGAATAAACGGACTACAAATGATTCGATGTTGCCGCACTTGTATTTCACTGAGAACTACAAGTCCCTTTGCAGTGGTGGCTGATGGTACTTGTAGTCTCTCCATTACACACAGTTGTGCCGAGTTCAAAAACAACACAAGCCTGCGGACAGAAGAGCACCGTGATTCAGGTAAATTGGGGCCGTGTTCCAATGTGACCATGTTTCATCTGACATCCTGAATATGGGTGTAACATGAACCATGGTCAGAAAGGTGAACTTAGCCTTAAACTTGTATAATGGAAACAAGCAGTTCTCATGTTCTAATGAGTAACGCACAGCTGTTCAGTACTTCTCAAAGACCCTGTGATTCTAATACGCCCTTGCTAAAATTCTATCGAGTAAGCCCGAAATATGATGACAATGTGAGATTTTCTGCTAACACAAATTCTGAATAGGAAACCTTTGTAATGAGTTAGCAAGGAGGGGCAGTGTGGCCCCGAAGAGCCAATGTATCTGTGCATGGGAGGAGGAAATGACCTGGGCAGATGTCACTGCTTAGCTATAATTCACAGACAAATATGAAATCCTCCGAATGGAATGTTACATAGGCTGGTTATATGCTGTACAATTCCACTATGTACATCTTCACAGCAAGCTGTGTAAAACCTCCACCTCCTGCACTAATAATCCATATACCACGAAGGTTATTTACATAGAACAGGTGATACAGTGCCCTATAACAACCAAACGCCATTCTTTATTCATTTCGATTGGTCAGGTCAGTTCTCTCTACTCTCTATTAAACAGAACTGCAAAGTCATTTTATTGAGTAAATATTTTGAGTCATAGCTGGAATGTTTAACAATTAGTAAGTTTGTGTTTGTCACATAATTAAGTTTGTTATACAATATTACCAAAGCTGTATTACAGAGATTTGTAGATTATTTATCTATTGGCTCCATGGATTTAATCATAAATCATTCAGCCACTTAGGCTATCTGATGGTCAGGCCGGACTTGTTAATTTTCATCAAGATATAGAGACACTGAGCATCACACATCTAAGCAGGTATCAGAGCAAATATGGCTGCTCCCGTGTCCATATATATTACAAACCATAGATAGAAATCTGATTTTTATTGCATTAAATGTACACTACAATAATTTGCACAGTATATACAATGTTTTATTGATAAAATATTTTTTGTTTGTTGTAGTTGTCACACACCTTGTAAAATCTATATATATATATATAGTAAAAGTAAAACAAAAACAAAAAACTAATACGGAAACAAAAAACTAATACGGTTTACCCATTTACTATACATACAGTATGTACACATATACACACACACACACACTATTTATTTTTTTGGCTTTTATTTAAATCGTATTACTGTATATACTTTTGTTCCCCATGGTCCCTGTGTGTGTTGTAAAGTAGCCACCACTCCAAGCTCACTCCCGTGATGGACTACAATCTCAGGTTTAGTTTACTACATTGTATTGAGATTGTAGTCCATCACACAAGTGAGCTTGGAGTGGTGACTACTTTACAACACACACAGGGAACATGGGGAACAAAAGTAGCCACCCTCCAGAAGGAAGGACAGTGTCAGCACCAATTCAGAGATGATTTGAGGATCTACAGCCGAGTGCTACACAAATAAGATACATTTTTGTTAATAGTTAAGGTAGTTGAATGTATTTTTAATATTTAACTCCTGAGTTTAGTGTCACTTTATGACTTTATACTATACACATTATTTCATTAAAATATTTTTATTTTATTTTAATGTCTGCAACATACTTAACCACCCATTGTGGCACCATCTGATGTTTTAACAGTGTGGAAACATTAAGAACCATCAACCTCTGCATCTTCAAACATCCTATTGTAATTACTTGGAAAAACAAAATTTCCCACAAATCTTAAAGAGGTTAATAAGGCCAGCTCTGAGTAATACTGAATGACAGGGTGTTGCATTCTTCCTTTAACACTAACAAATCACACGGTCACTGACAGAGAGAGGGCAGTTTACTTGCTCCAAAAGTAGCAGACAAACTTGGACCAAGTCTTGTCATTCACACATGCCCTGCTGATCCCCTGGGATCAGCAGGGAATATTTAGGTTGTTCTGGGTTTGTCCATATGAGGAAGAAGCTAAAACTTCAGATTGCAGGCTGAAATTGTAACCATAAAAATACAGTCAAAGCCTCCAACACCATGACAAAAACAAGAAACCACTAGAACCCAGAATAAAATCAAGATAAAGGAGAAATCCAAGCTTTTTTCATGAAATATACAGCCCCAAACTAAAACTTTGTAAATTAAATGCTTTTTAAATCAAGATAATGGGAGATACAAGATAAACTATACACCAAGTAATCTTGTGCTATTATAATCAGCACCCTTGCCGCTATCCACCCATGTCACCCTTGACATGAGCTCTTCTGAAGCTATAGTGACCACTGGACTATCACTAATGGCCTGTTGCTTGGATAAAAGAAATAACAATCAATAAACTATTTTTGCTGCTAAACTCTTTGGGAGAGAAGACACAAAAATACACTTGCTGAGCTGCCTTCCCATCAACCACGCAGAGCAAATTTAATGTTAAACATTTTAAATGTTGTAAGAGGGCCAAGTTGAAGCCCAATTGTACCTTCTAATGATACTAAACACAGGAGTTAAATCTTAACAATGCATTCAAGTACCCCATTTACAATACTGGACCGTATTTGTGTATCATTCGGCTGTAGATCCTCAAATCATCTCTGAATTGGTGCTGACACTGTCCTTCCTTCTGGAGGGGGGCTACTTTTGTTCTCCATGGTCCCTGTCTGTATTCAAAAGTAGCCACCGCTCCAAGATCACTATTGTGATGGACTACAATCTCAGTACAAATTAGTAAACGAAGCATGAGATTGTAATCTATCAGAGAGTAAGCTTGGAGCGGTGGATACTTTACAACACATTCAGGGACCATGCAGAACAAAAGTAGCCCCCCTCCAGAAGGAAGGACAGTGTCAGCATCAATTCAGAGATGATTTGAGGATCTACAGCCGAGTGATACACAAATAAGATACATTTTTGCTAACAGTTAGGCCTCATTCACACTAGAAACGGCTGGCACGTACAGCTCCGCGCTGCGTGCACGGCCGTATCGGGCAGCTCTCGGCAAGAACAGGTGGTGCATGTGATTAGTACGCAGCCCCTTTCCTTCTCTATGGAAATATGCGGCTGTATGCCGCCCTACGCTCACCCGCACTACACATCCGTGCGGGCAGTGGCGTAACCAGAGTTATGGGCGCCCGGGGCAGAACATTTTTTTTACGTGCGGGTGTCCGTACTCGTACACTGACAGGATCCTGTCTGTGTCTAAGCCGGGACGCAGCACCTGTTCTTCCCGGGAGCTGCCCAATACGGCCGTGCACACAGCACGGAGCTATACATACCGGCTATTTCTAGTGTGAATGAGGCCTTAAGGTACTTGTATACAGATTTAACTCCTTAACTCCTGAGTTTAATGTCTGTTCATTTTTGGAGCCAGATTGGGATAACACCTATGCCGTTCTGGCTCCAAAAATTTACATAAAACATGATGAACCTATTTTATGTTTGTTAAATGTTTCCATTTACATTGCATAACTTAAAAAGATAAAAATTGCTAGCCCCCTAATTTTAGGGAAGGTTTTGTGCAAAGTTATGTTTACTCTAATTAACCCTGTCTGTGCTGGAAGATTTTATTGTCAGTTGTAAATCAGGTTTGAACACTGTTTGTCCAAACAATGGGTTAAAGCCTTCAAGGCATTTTGTTAATGACAGGGAGCTCAGTCTGCCCCTCTATTTTCACTCTCAAACTGCTTAGAGTAGCCTGGAATCTGCACAAAGGCTTTCACCAAAGAAAAGTTTGAAAGGTAAGAAATATGTTTGTAAAAAATATTTTAGGTATGCTGTGTGAATGGGAACACATAACAAAATAATAGATGGGTTTTTCTCCAATTTGACTGCAAAATTGGAAATACACTTTAAGCTTCAGTTAAATCAGCAGCTCGTTTTCTTTTGAAAGCAGCGGCAACCCGAGTAGAAACACCTGTCTCTTCCAATAGGTGCAGAGGGGACCCTTGCTCTCTGTGGGGAAGCAGGGGTTTCAATGCAGAGGTCCAACACACCCCCTATTAAAGGAGAACTATGGGGGTCAGTGTTTTTCCCCATAGTTCTCCTTAGGGTAACGGGAGGACACAAACTAGCGTCCTCCCGTTACCCTAAGCTCAGTATACGGCGAGCTACAGCTCGCCGTATACTGAGACGCCGCACCTGGAGCGGAGCCTGGCATAAAACTCTGCAATCACAAAGCTCATGCTCCCAGCTGATTGGAGAGAGCTCGAGCTCTGACTCAGCAGATGTCATGTAGCACCTCTGCAAAAAGATCACTGCTTTACCACAGAGATCAAGGGTCCGTCTCTGGAGCATGCTGGCAGGAAACAGACTTTTTTACACAGGCTGTTTGCTGTTCTAGAAATAAAACTAGCTGTAAAGCTGGCCATACACCTTACAATTATCTGCACTTTTTCCATCTGACCACAGGAAATCTGCAGATAAATTGTAAGGTGTATGGCCAGCTTAAGACACTGAACATTGTTTGTTTTGATGTACCTGAAATGTATTTAGCAGATTTAAACTAAGGTTGGGCTTTAAAATAAGCGAAACTTGAAAAACAGTGACAAGAAAGGGGAATTCCATACCTCTGTGTTGTTTTTACATAACCTCAGCAGCATCTGAAAAACAAGGAAGAAAAAGAAAATATTACACAATCCGGTAAATGTAGTACATATTTTATTGTTAAACTTTAACAACATTTTATGACAGCATTCTTTTTATATCAGGTATATATAAACTAAGAGCTGCGCTTGAGGATTAGCTAAGGTTTCATGCCTGTCGTTGTAACTCATGAAAGGTTGACACTGTTCAGCCCCTGCATGGACCACATTTTACAATAAAATGTAGACCTGAACTGGTTTGTTTGTAGAGCCGCCCGATCGCTTGTACGTAGCTGGAGAGTGTGTGCTTCTCCCTCAGCTGCTGCCAGCTATCCCGGGCTCCGCCGTCCCCCGTGTGGGCCCAGAACCAGCAAGACAGGTCTGTGTGCCTCCATTGGAGGGAAATCAGCACACATCCAACGGCTGATCTCCCCTCCAATCACTGAACACAGAAGCAGTGTGTGTTACATTACTTCCAGTTTCAGACTGTCATTTCTCTGGTTCCTGTGGCCAGAGAAGAAGATGATGAAGCACAATCTGTGCTTCATCAGCTTCTTTGGATTCCATAGGTGACACTAGGGATCTAATAGACTCCTGATGTCTCCATAAAGAGGACCTTTTACATCCACTTTGCTATTACATAGGGGGTTTCGTATGATAGTAATAAAGTTAAGTGTAAAAAAAAAAAAAAAAAGCTACAAAAATGAAAGTCACATATACAACAAATTTAAACACAAAATTTTTTTTTTAAGTCCTCTGCCCCCACATACATTTACATACAAATGCAAACACATGTCGGGTGCGCCTGCAAACATCGGAGTGAGGGCTATAATTCTGGGGCCATCAATCACTGGTAACACTAAACTGATGAGTGGTAAAAGCTTTTAATGCGTCGCCTGTGTTTTTTCCCATTTTACTGGTACATGCAATTTTATAGGCTTGACATGTTTGGTATCTCTTTACCCAACACAACCCCACTCTTATATTTCTCCAAAAAATGATGTGTTATATTCTGCTTCTGTTCACTACAATTCATTTTATGTGTATTTGATCCTACAAATATTGGTTTGATAAACATTTGCGCAAATATTGTGTGACATAAAAAATTGCATCTAGCATTTTTTTTTTTTTTATTGCACAGGGCCTCTGCTTTCAGAAAATATATAATAGTTTGGGGGTTTTATAGCTGTTTTCTAGGCAATAAAAATCCATTTTTTTTATCATGTGTTTGAAAAAAGAAATTGCTCCGGACGGCAAGTGGTTAAGACAACACCTACCTATCCCCATGGCCACCAATCACCATGGCACATACTGTGTGGTGCAGTTTCTTTAGCTCACAGGAAACTATCCCTACCATGAAAAGGTCAGTTTTTTGTTTTTGCCCTCCAGGCCCAATGTTCCCAGTCCTCCTTTAATATCTATGGGCACAGTCACAGAAGAGAATCCATAGACAGGGTGTAGAATGGCCCCATCATCTTTCTCTGAATTAGGTGTTATGTACTCGGATTCAAAATCATAAAATCGCAAATTGTTTTCCCATGGGTAAAGTCTTTCATTTAGTGATGCGATTAATATGATGGCTGTCTGTGGGGGAGAAGGAAAATAGCTAACTAGTTACAAAAGTAGACAGTTATTTGGATAACCCCCTTTATTTGTCACCACTTTTCCTCCCTTTTATCTGCTCCAAGCTTGTGGGAACGGATTCTGCTACAGACCACATCAAAGCTGACTTTGACTCCATGGTTGCTAAGAAAATACCAGTAAGGACAAACACAGATTACAGCTATCAGCACTAGTTTATTCATCTATAGGCAGATGCTTGGAGGGGGTCTATGTCATTTTAGTGGCTACCGACCTCGATCACAGCTAAACTGCAGCCCAGATCTACAAATAAATCTTATAACAACATCTGAAACCATTACACTATACAAGGTCTGGAAAAGGGCTCTGTAGGAAATAGCTGGAAAGCAATTAAAGGAGAACTATGACATGAGTGATTTCCACTCACCTCATAGTTCTAGCCGACCTGTGACAATGAGACTGTCACAGGTCAGCTCAGTAGATCGGGAGGTGAGAGAACACATACCGGGTTCCCTCACCTCTCGATCCTGTCACGGCTCTCTGCTGTGACAGGGGAGGGGCTGGATTCCCCTCTCCCCGCTCCGATCTGCCAGCGCTGACTGGCGGAACGGACGGGGGAGGGGGGTGGGTACAGCTGGCTCTGCCTCTAGATAGGCAGAGCCAGCTGTCACTCACGCAGCTGGGCGGATCCCGTCATCTAAGTCGGGATCCGCTCCATGTGCGGCGTCTCAGTATACCGCGAGCTGTAGCTCGCGGTATACTGAGCTTAGGGTAACGGGAGGAGGCTAGTTTGTGTCCTCCCGTTACCCCAAGGAGAACTATGGGGAAAAACACTGACCCCCATAGTTCTCCTTTAAGTGATTTTCTCATATCAGTACCCTCAATTGAAGAAGAATTAGGATCGAATTAAGGGAAAAAAAAGAGGATATTATTTTAAGACGAGGAGCTCGTGAAATCAGAAAAATACAACTGATTATTAGTTTTAAAATCTCATTATGGCAATGAAGGGGGAGCAATTAACTTTAACCCTTGAAAATAACTTGTCATTGGCAAATTCGCTTATGGAAAAGCATATTTGAAGTGTATCACAGGAGCCTACTTCTGTTTTTTTTTTTTTACTGGTTTAGACCTTCTCAGCTGTGACAAGATGTGAAACAGGGGTAATCATAAAGAGGAACAAAACATTTAAATGCCTCTGTGCATTTCCCAAGAGAACTAAGGGGGATTATAGTAAGTTTATATATACTAAAAAGTTTTTAAAGCTGAACTCTGGGATCATGGCTCTTTTTCAGATAAATGTCATTTTCCACATGCATAGTACACACGCACATTTACATATAACATTTAGAGTTTAAAGTGATATTAAACCCTTGTTTTTTTAATTCTCCAGAGGAACTCCACTTGTGTAGCTGTTTTTTTGTTTAATACTGCCCATTTAAAAGTATTTTTTCTCCAGATTTATCACAGTTTACAGGTATCTCCTTTGCATAGTAAGTTGCAAAGGGGACATCCGTGCACGCGCGCTCCCAGCAGCCATGCTGTGTGCGTCCATTGACACACACTGCACTCAACAAGCCACACCGCTGTTCCCGCCTCCTCACAGTATCTTGACAGGCAGGTGGAGCAGCCTATCGCTGCCCTGCCTTCAGTGGCTTTTGAACTCTCCTTTCAACCTGTAACTTTAGGGAAACATTGCAAATCGCCTGTGAGCGGTGAACGTGGAGTATAGGTATGTGTTTGGGGGTGGGGGGCATAGAAAGGTAGCCGGGTGATTTTTTCCTTAATGCAGAGAATGCATTAAGATAAAAAATGAATAGCCTTTAGTACTACTTTAAATGGGCAGAAATATCATATTTTAAGACCTCTTGGGGTTGATTTACTAACCTTATAAACACGCCACGAACAAGTATACACCTCTGTAGTGTGTTCCCTCCCAGCATGATCTATGGGTGGAATCTAGACACCTTTGTAGTGTGGATTCCTTTGGGTTTGATCGAAGTGTGTGCTGGCTCCGTCGGTTTGCTGGAGGGCCGCTGATGAGGTGGTGATGGCGTCCGTTGGTGCCGGGGAGGTCCCGTCAGGTCCGAGGATGGAAGGGGGGCGCTGGTTGGTGTCCTTCCCTGTGAGGTGGTGATGTCGGCCGGTTTGAGCGCACTGTTGCTGAGGCGGGCGCAGTTGTCGCAAGTTCCGGTCTGGCCTGAAGGAGGTGTACAGGGCGTCCCAGACGTGGGACGGAGGTTTCCGTTATTATGGCTACGTGGCAACGCGTTTCGAAGATGTAGTCTTCCTTGTCAAGCCAGGGTCTCTCCTCCAGCCCTCAGACAAAATGTAAGTGACATCTTCCATTAGCACCTACTCACACACACAAGTCTTTGCGCCCTTAACATGCCTTTTAGTTATAGCCCCCCGTAGTCTTCCTGGCTTGACAAGGAAGACTACGTCTTCGAAACGCGTTGCCACGTAGCCATAACAACGGGAACCTCCGTCCCACGTCTGGGACGCCCTGTACACCTCCTTCCGGTCAGACCGGAACTTGCGACAACTGCGCCCGCCTCAGCAACAGCGCGCTCAAACCGGCCGACATCACCACCTCACAGGGAAGGACACCAACCAGCGCCCCCCTTCCATCCTCGGACCTGACGGGACCTCCCCGGCACCAACGGACGCCATCACCACCTCATCAGCGGCCCTCCAGCAAACCGACGGAGCCAGCACACACTTCGATCAAACCCAAAGGAATCCACAGGATCAAGCCCCACCACAGAGACCCGGACGTCGATGACGGCACACCCATGTGAACCTCATGGTGAGTTACTACACTCTCTTTTTCTTGGCACCATCACTTATGCCTCATGTGTTACCTCTGTCTCCCTCTCGCCATTAACATCGAACGGAGCATCTGACGTGACAGAAAACCTCCATCAACTACCCCCCCCCCTCCCCGTTCTCAAAGGGTAGTAGCGCTTTAGACTCCGCCATTTGTTTTGTCTTATATATGCATCATGTGCATGATTTCTCCATATATGGCATTATTGGAAATATGCTTTTAGAGACTTGCATGCCGCTATTTGAGCGGCGTGTAGCCTATGGCGCATGCTACATGACGCGCACGTACGTAAATACATAAAAACGCGCCATAACGGCGTGAAAATGTGACACGTTGCTCGTGTTTGGTTGATAAATACGTTTTGCTGTGTACAAATGCACACGCACCTGGTGCGTGCGTGTGTTTAGGTTAGTAAATCACCCCCCTTATGTCACTCCAAAATGGCAGAGATTCTGGCAATAGGTGGAAGCTGAGAGGAGAGTTCAGGTAGCTGCTGCACTTCATCTCTGAACTCCATGTCCCATGATTCCTTGGGACACTAGTGCCAGGGGTGTTCTCTTTCCCTTTGTCACCAACCACGGTGGTCATCGGCCAGATAATTTTCCTTGCACAACAAGGAAAGTATTCTACAGTACATGAGAGCAGTCTTCCTCATTTTTAAACATTGCCCTCTCCATATCAAGCCATGATACTGCTTTTGCAAAGCATTCTGTGTTATCTAAAAAGAGAGCGCAGTAATAGTTTTTTACTTTGTGATAGTCCATATTGAAAATGCATAGGAAGAGAAGGTGCTACTCTGAGTTAGCTTAATAACCTCACGACTGACCAACTGTTCTGAGAGGACGTCAGAATACCTGATAACGCGCTGTCGGACAATCAGACCAATCAGAGTGGCTCTGTGCCTAGTGATTGTTATCATGGTAAACACAATGTAAGCAAAGCCCTCTTCTTCCGTTGCTGCTGCCAATTGCATCCAGCAGATACCCAGCTACAACCAGCACCAAATGTTTTATTTTTGTAGTTCAGTTTCCTAACCTGTAATCTGCTTCTTCTCTGCTCGTCTGTTTCCAAGTCCAGAAGATCATCAATGTTCACCTCATCCGGCATGTCTACCTCCTGCATCATGGAAAAAGAAGACGATTAGTAATGAGAAGATTGGTTATCATAGTTCAACATTGGCTGATATCCAGCTTTCTAATATGATCACATTTGTGTGGAGGAAGCCGTAGAGGAAATGGGGAGTGTGTGTACAGTGAGCCTCCAGGATGGCTGCTAGGTCTCACAGGGGCCCTTAAACCCACTAATAGAGTTATTATTCAGTAATCACCAGAGCTGCACAGTTCCTGGAAAGCAGTCAGGTCTCCACTGGGAACCAGTATGCCAGAGATAAGTCACCTCTGAGACATTTAGAGGTCACACTGTTGTCTTAGCTAAATGACCTCACCACACAGCCATGTTTAATGAGTGAAATAAGAGCCTCACTTCTGTAAATAAATTCAAACCATCAATAACTCTTAAAGTGGGCCTGTCACCCACGGAAACTATAAGCTGGCGCCATGATCTGCCTAGCTATCCACTAGGGATGAACTAGAAATAATTTAAGGAAAACGGAACAATTTATTAATAAACTCCCGGGTGCAAAATTTGCACTAAAGTGAAACTCTGGAAGCCTTGATACTTATCTCACCAAAAACCAACACAGTACACCTAAAGACATGCCTGGGGATGCTTGCAACTCTACCTCTGCAGAGGTTTGGGACAACTCTAGCTCTGCAGAGGTTTTGGACAAGCAGTATGTGAATTACTAGGGCAGATGAGTAAAGATTTCAGGGAATTCTTGTACTGCCATAATGACTGTAAGATAAAGTTTTAAGCAGTTTGACAAAATCAGAGTGAAGACCAAAATGCAAAGAAATATTTGTAGAACATTAAACTGCAAATTAGCATCACTTGTCTATTTTTACCTAAAACACAAGCTTCCCTTAAAGCAGAAGTGAAGTGTTCTATTAAAAAAGGTGTCTGCAATTATTTTTATGTGCACCAAGCAACGCATATACATTTTTTTGCTGAAGTGCTTTGTGTGTGTGTGTGTGTGTGTGGGGGGGGGGACCATGCCATTCCTTGATTCCCCAGGAGCCACCTGGGCATCCAGAACTGCTGGTGTGTAGCACAGATAAAGCCTCATATTATACAGCTATGTACAAGTTGCATTTAGCTGCTCTGCCCCTCTTTTTGAACAACATCTCTCTCTTCCTCAGTTGCCCCCCGCCCCCTCCTTTTGGTCTGATGTATAGACCTCTATTAAAAAAATGTACTGTTGAACTATGAAAAGTATTTCACAACACTAAAACTTTCAACCGGACTCTAAAATATTATATTTATTTTGAAAACCAGTATAAAGGAAAAGTAGTAAAAGCCGTCTTTTTATAATTAATTCTTATGATTGTAATTTTTGTATCCCTCTCTCTCTCTTTCTCTCTCATGTCTCGGAAGGGTGGGAGTTTTAACTCTAACATTTGTATTTTAACTGTTTGCTATGTAACGTTTATACATGTGAATAATGTGAAGCATTTTTGATGAGAAAGGTATAGTGAGCGAAAATAAAGAAATGGCGTTAAAATGACTAGTTAGTTAGCTAACCCCATTTGTATCTATCAGTCCCATGCTATGGGAAATGTTTCTTTACTCAGATTTTATATATTTGCCTCATGAGGTCACCTTTATGTAAAGTGGTACTGCCCATTGTCTTCTAGGTCTAGATCTAAGTAGAAAATAACATCCGATTGGTTGCAATAGGCAACCTAGAATCCTAGATGGTCATCTTTGATCCAAATTTTATGTAATAGGACCAAGACTGTGCAGAGCGGGTGTACATTAACCCCTTCGTGACTGACGACGTACAGTGTACGTCGCCAGCATCGGGGCTGTTTAAACAGACTCCCGGCGACTTTTGCCGCCGGGACTCTGTTTAAACTTGTAGAGCCGACTGTCGGCTTTACAACAGAAGCGATCCTGGCGACTTACCTGTCGCCAGATCGCTTCTGCGTCCC